GGGGAGGCTTAAATCTGGTTAGTGGAACTCGCATAAAAAGAGGAAATCTTAAAGAATATAGGTTTGCGAGCTAGTCGTTTTTGGAATACTTGAATTTTTATTTTGCAAATTTTCTATATGATTAAAGGTGCTGCTAAATGACAAAAGTTTCAGAGAGAATTTAAAGTACCGGCATTTTACGCGAAATTTCATTCACATATTTTTAATTTTTGAGTGTTTTTCTTCCGTGTAATTTCACGAAACAAATTAGATTAATAGAGGAACGACCCGGCATCGGGTCGTTCCTCCCTGATGAAGCGGATTGAAATGTTCGCGAAACGTCGGAATCAAACAAAGATGAATCCACGCGGCTCAAACCAAGAAATCAAATCTAAAATTAGATTAATTTTTGTGGAAATATTAAAGACAAAAAATAAAAACCTTTTAGATGATACTTTATAACTATTAAAAACAGAGAACTATCTTTATAATATGAAATTAAAGTGTCATAGTATTATCGTAAAATCGTAAGTTAATTTCCGTCTTGATTTCAATACAGCCGATTCATTTTATGAGAAAAATAAGATTAATTTTGAAAAATGTCAAAAGCACAAAATAAATATTTTTCATTGCAAATTTATTTCTGTATTAATTTCAAAATAATCAGTCAATTTCGCGAGAAAATTAGTTTTTAAAAAAGTCATAATCAGAAAATAAAATTTTTTTTTCACCTTGTAACACCATCGGAAACAGAAAACTATTTTTTATCGTAAATTAATTTCTATCTTAATCTAAAAACAATCAAATTTCGCAAAACAAATTCGACTGACTTTCAGAGATATCATAATTAAAAAATAAAAATTTCTCTTGATTGCACTTCGTAAATATGAGAAACATAAAAAAATATCTAAGATATCAAGTCAACACGCGTTTCACAGGTATCTCAAGAACGATTAGTTTGCAAATTTTTGTTCAACGCGCTTCATCAGTCACGCATATGTACGTGCCCCATGGGCTTCATAAAATAAAAAATTTCAAATACATATCATATATTCTTGCGACATAAATAATTGTTTCTCTTCATAAAAGAGCAGATCAGCGCGAGAGACCTTTGAGACTTCCCTCTTCGTCGTTGCGAGTTCTATCAGTCGCAGAATCAAGTCTCGACTAGAGTTGCCAAATGTCCTTCCTTAGGAAGGTAGCCAAAATTTTCATATCCTGCTAAGGACGCTATTTATCCTTCTCTACTGCATAGAAGGAGCTTTTCGTCTAAATTTTGTCTGAAAATTGTTTAAAGTTTGCAAGTATTATCCTAAAGTATTTATTCACTGAAAATTGACGTTAGGAAAGTTGTCGTGATAGACACTTCTTCCTGACGATCTTTTTTTTTGTCAAAATTTTTGATACTTTCCGTATCAACTTATAAATATGGCAACTCTAGTCTCGATCGAAAATTCCGAAACGTCCAGCGTGTCGCGAGTGTACACGACCGAGTCGGTCGACCTGGTGGCGCGTTTCCTGCGGCGTTTTTCGCGCCGGCGACAGATCGACGCGACGAGAGCGTGGCGCGCTTTGCGCACTGATCTGAGAGTCCGCAAGCTCTCTCCTCGCGAGCAAACAACCACAAGCACAGTCTACCTACCGATCGTTGAATCGCGCGCAATCGACAACTCCCTCCCGCCGATTGACTCCCGGCGACGCGATTTCTCGTTAACTTTTCCATCGGGTGCGCCGCGCGGGGAGTCGCGCGAGTGGAATTATGCACGGACGTCGTCGTCGCTTCGAGCGGAGCGCGAGCTCTCATCGTTGCACAAGAGAATTACGAAATGAGTTTCGAGAGTAGGAGAGCGCGCTAAATTAATCGGACCGTTGCGCGCCGCACAAGGAGGGAACGTTTCTCCCGTTTCTTTTCTTTTCCTTTTTCTCCCTTCATCCTCCTCTCCTTTCTGATCTTTTCCTCGTCCTTTTTTTAACCTCGAGGAGTTCGAAAAAGGAGGGTAATCTTAAGCCGCGAGTTTGCGTTAAGTTTCCTCGAACTACCGTTAAGCTTAAGATGCGCTTTAGCCCAAGTGCATAAATGTTTGACAATACCATTAGAGAGGTTGCAGTAAAAAAAAAATTCATATAGAGTGTGTAAAGAATGTTATCGGAATTAATCCGATGGTGTGTAAATGGTTAGGTCGATTATCGCGGGCCGCCGATAATTCTACACGAGAGAGATCGTCTTGGCGGTCGCGCGTTCACATGATCGTCGTTGTTTCGGGCGGGGGCAGAGAGTGGGAAATCATGATTTTACCCTTCCTCTATCTTCGATTCACCAGAAAATCTGGTCATAAGCTGGATGTGTCGCGTTTTTAGAAGGGAGGGAGAGAAAAACAAGGAGACGGAAAGCAGAATAGCGAAAGAACCAGAGGGAAACAGAGATAGAAATACAGAGGAGAAGAGGGAGGGGAAAGGAGAGAAAGAAGCACGTGTGACCTGACGTTAAGTTTATAGCGTGGAATAGGGATGGGCGATTTACCCGGTGAACGCTTTCCGCGTCACTCACGATACGCGCGAAGTACGCACGGAGATTTATTGCATTAACATCGCAATGATACAGTTAAACGCGTTTTGGTAGCAGGGAAACAAAATTTCCGGTTCTTGAAAACCGAATTTGATTTATGATTGATAAAACAGAAACTGTTTTCTTCAACCAAAACGCTTTTAATTGTGTCACTGTTGCGTTAATTCAACGTTAACACTACTAAACGTTTTGAAAAAGTTGATTAAATTAACATGATATCGTGACACAACTAAACGTGTTTAGGAAACAGAATTTCTGACTCTTAAAAAACGAATTTAACTTTCCAAGATCAAAAATTCTGTTTTCTTCAACTAAAAGGCCTTTACACTGAGGGAAAAATTACCTTAAAATCAACAAGTATTTCTTTGATTTTCTTTATTTCTTTGATTTTCTTTATTTTCTTTGATTTTCTTTATTTAAACCAAATGTATTTACTTAAATCAGGTAAACAATATTTTATTTAAATAAAGAGAAGTTAGATTTAAATAAATATGTTAATGGCACCCATCAAAGAAATATTTGTTGATTTTAAGGTAATTTTTCCCTCAGTAGTTGTGTCATTGTTACGTTAATTCAACATTAACACAACTATACGCGTTTTGGTAGAAAGAAACAGAATTTCTGGTTTTTACGAATCAAATTTATTTCTTAAGAACCAGAAATTCTGTTTCTCTCAAACGCCTTTTGTTGTGTAATTGTCACGCTAGTTCAACGAGTCTTTTTGCTCCATACAGCCGATTGTTCCACCGTAATCCGTGAATGTTTGATATCTCAATACGGGCCGGTGAATGCACGCGTCGTGTTTGATTATTTCCGTGATTTCTCCGGCGATTAAAATTCTTACGACCGTTCCACACGTTCGTTCGTTCATAACGCGAGCGCGTATGACCGCAAAGAACGGCGCGAAAATACATTTCCCGGGTAAATGGCTGTCGTTAGCGCGAAATAATGAGAGACTTATATACTTGTTAGGAGAGAGTGGTTTCTGTACGGAGCGTATATAGGCGAAAAGAAGATAAATAGCCGCGCACGGAACATGACGGCGAGTGTATATCTCGCGTGACGTGTTCAGACAGATAGATAGATAGATAAATAGATAGAGAGAGAGAAAGAGAGGGAGAGGATGAGAGTGGGAATGAGTGAGAGAATAATTTTAACGTCGCGTAAATCCCGATACATTGTTCTAGGCACGTTCTAGCCTCGCGCGAGAGTTCAGCGACTCACGCTCGTGATTTGTAAGATAATTAAGAGCGTAGGATTAAATATAAGCGATGAATATGTGTACGGTTATAAGTGGTTACGCGAAGGGGTCCACTTTCTGTTTCTCTCGTCGTTTGTTTGCCC